CCCAAAAAGGAGAACCTTAACCTAAACCTCACACCTCACACCTATAAAAAAAATTAACTCGAAATAGAACACAGATTTAAATGTAAAATTAGAAAACTAAATTTTAGGAGAAAATACAGGAAAAAGCACAGAGAAACTAAGATTTACTGAAGAGTCCTTAGCCCTCAAAAGCAAGATCCAGAAAACTAAAAGGTTGATAAATTAGAATACATCAAATTAAACATTTTTTTTCTGTAAAATAGTTAGTTAAGATGATAAAAAATAATCTACAAACTAGACGAAAATATTTGCAAACCACATACCCAACAAAGGACTTGGATCTAATATATATGGAGAGAACCCTCAAAGCTCTACAAAAAAAAAAAAAAAAAAAAATCCAATTTGAAAATGGACAAAATGGGGCTGGGACTATAGCTCAGTGGCAGAGCACTTGCTTTGCATGTGTGAGGCATTGGGTTCAATCCTCAGCACCACATAAAAATAAATAAATAAAGATATTGTGTCCATCTACCACTAAAAAAAAAAAACATTTTAAAAAGAAAAGAAATGGACAAAATACATGAACAGATATTTCAATGAAGAAGAGATACAAATGGAAATTCATATAAGATGTTCTATGTTATTAGCCACGAGGGAAATGAAAATTAAGACCATGATATGATGTTATTACACATTTATTAAAATAGATAAAATAAAAAGTAGTGACAACATCTAATGCTGACAAGGCCCAAAGTAGCTGGAGTTCTCACACATTGCTGGTACAAATCTCGAAAACAATTTGGCAGATTTGTAAAACACCTCAGCCTGCAACTAACTAACTAACTAACTAACATCTGACCCACCAACACACACCTGGGCATTTACACTAGAGAAATGAATATTTCTCTCCACACAAAAACCTATACATAGTTGTTCATCGAAAACTAATTTGTAATAGTCCCCAACTAGAAACAACCCAAATGTTCTTCAATGAGTGAACATTTAAACAAACTATGGTACATCTATCCCATGGAATACAACTCAGCAATAAGAAGGAACAAATTCTTTATATGTGCAATAATAATTGGGATAGATTTCCAAGGCATTGTGCCAAATGAAAAAAAAGCTGATCTCAAAATGTCATGACTTGTATGATTCCCTTTATGTAACATTCTACAGATGACTAAATTACAGAGATGGGAAAAAGGTTCATGGTTGCCAGGGGTTGCCATTCAGTAGTCAGAAGAGGAATGGATGTGACTCTAAAGGGGTTAACATAAGAGAAGCCTTTGTGGTGGCTTCAAGCAGTGGACAGGTAGTTACAAGAACCTACACAAGTGATAAAATGGCATAGAACTGTACACACGTGATAGCAATGTCAATTTCCTGATGTTGATTATACAGTTATTGTAGTTATATAAGATGGAACCAATAAGAGAAGATGGGTGAAGGATACACAATACCTTTAAGTACTATTTTCCTGTGAATCTATAATTGTTCCACACTTGTTAAGGTTAGGATCTTGAACGTCCCCCAAAAGCTCATGTGTTGAAAGCTCCGTCCTCAGTGCAACCCACCCTCTGGGGAGGACTGGGGATCTTAATTCAGAAGGTCAGAGAAGGAATTCTTTGGCCCTGAAGAGTTGATTGAGAGTGTTTTCCGGAGCATGAATCAGGTTGCTGGGATAGAGTATTTTCTTCTAGAAACTGAGAAGTTAAAGTCTAAAATGCCTCCCTGTGATTGAGAATTGAAGGCCTCCAAGTGTGGCCTGGACACAAGCTAGGACAAAGTACATTCCCCCAATTTTTGGTTCTCCCAGGTTAGAGGTTACCAGGGCTGCTTGAGCCAAGCCAGAAGGTTCACCTTGGCTTCTTCCCACTGTTCTTCCTCACCCTTCACCCCCAGCGAAATGGACCCCACCCCACCAAGTATATATGATTCCACTACATTGGAGCCGTGGGCAGCAGTGATCCAATGACCACTCCCACTATAAGATAACCTCAGTTTGGCCCCCAAAGAAAGCTTCATTTTAAGGAAAAACAGATCTTTTGAGGCTGCCAGGATAAGTTAGCCACAAAGTCTCCCTTCTACCAACACCCGCCCCCACCCCCATAATCGCTGAATGGACCTGTTTTTAATTTAGAGTTCTGGGCGCTGGACTACTCCCTCCAACAGTGATTCTCCAGCAGGTCCTGAACTTCCTAAGAATCCCGAAAGTCAGAGGCCAGAGACTGTCTCTAAATTAAATACCAGGATATTTACTGCTGCAGGGGAGTCTAAAAAAATGAACCCTAAGAGTTGCCAGTCTGTTTGGATGTGAAGAATGATGCGTGAAAGAGTAGAAACCAGCGAGCCACTGGGAGCACACATCCTGCAGCCACGGCAGCTCCCCTGGGTCACAGCTGGGACTTGTGTGTCACCAGAGCCTGAAGAAAGCCCTCTTAACCGAAACCCATGGAATCCCCACCTGCTAAACCAGCTGATGAGAGGGCTGGGCGGTACAGTGGTTAGAGTCCATGTTTCTCTACACTCCATCCCTTGCTGGTTATATGTCCACACATGGACATGGGGGGTCCCCTACCAAAGCCTTATTTTCCTCATTATTAAAGGGGACAATAATTCACCTGATGGAGTTGCAAAGAGGACAAAATATGGGTACAATATTTCTGTAGTTCCTGGTATATTCATATAGCTCAATTGCAGTTAGCTACTCTTATTATTATTTTGGACATTATTATTATTATTTGTAGTTTTTCTTCACTAATAATTCCATGATGGAATTGATAGAACAAAACTTCCAAAATGGTATTTGAACATACAGTTCTGTTTGTTGAAGGAAGAAGCAATCTCGGATTGACCAAGCCTACTTCCTGTGCCTCATCCTGGTTAATCCTTACTGAGCTGACTCCCAACATGGGCATTGTTCATTTTATCCACTTTTTAAGGTAAGGACCCTGAGGATCAGGAAAGGTGAGAAATGCTTCCTTCCCTATGTCACACAGTTAGTAAGTGATTGATATGGGGTTTCTCAGGAATGTCCACAAGACCAAAAGGTTAGTCTGTCCTAGGAAAATGACAGATCCTCAAGTTGAGTGTCCCCTTTCCTTTCCATATCTCAAGGCATATGCAGCCCAAACCCTACTGAGAAGGTGCAAGGCCATCCCCCAACCTCTCACTTGGAGGAAGAAATTTCCCCTCAAATAGCAAAGCCCTGGATTACTTATTACTGTTCCAGGAGGGACACTTAACTAATCTGGGATTCTAGATTCCAAATTTCCCTGGTTTCAGGCTCCTGAGTTGAAGCTCAGTTGAGATTTTTCCAAATTCTGATCTTAAAACTGTTATTCATCCAAAGAGGTGATGATTAAGAGAATCTGGTTGTTGGAACTGGTGAAAACCTCTTAACTGATGAGTCTTTAACTCCCTCAGGGGGCCAATTGGCCTGAGCTCAGAGTTCAGGCCTCAGGCACAAATAATCAGCATGTGAGAAGTTATCTTATTCTTACAGATCTTCAAAGAAATTGCTGCCATAAACTGTTTTAGGGACTAGGGCAGGCCAAGCCTTACCCCTCCTCACCCTCACTGTCAGGAATCTGTGCTGGAACAACCGCCCCTCCTGCCATTCCTGGGGGTAAAGGAGTTAGATTTCCTGTACCCTGTTTCCTGCCACGCTCCACTCCTTTCAGACTACCCAACCCCCACACGGGCTCTTTCCTTCCAATTCCTAATTTTAAGATATCAAACTTTCCACAATTCTCAGCTGAAACTTCTCCAGAACACTTGGGAATGGTGAAATGGAAATTGCACACAGTGTTCTATGCAGGTTTGGCCAAAAGGTGAGGTTTGAGATTATTTTAAAATTTCAAAATTTCTGTCTTATTTATATTACACCATGAGATCAATTTAACCTTTATTATTGTGGTGCGGGAAAGAACAGAAACAGGAATGGGGAATTCCACTGGAAACAATCTAAGTACATATATGTAGGTGGGATCCCCTCTGATCTCCAGATCTGTTTCTGTTAGATACATGTAACCAGTCCACAGAGAGTCCCAACCTGCCTTTGTGAGATCTGAGTTCCCCTATCTGCACCACTGGAGGCTTTACCCATTTCCATCTGATTGTATGATTGTGGGAAACAACCTAATGTCTCTGTGCCATAATCTCTACCCTGACCCCAATATGCCCTCAAGAAACTCTGAAGCCTTCCACTTCCTCATAGGGAAGCTTCCCTCTATCAGGAAGTCCCCAAAGAACTTGAGTGTGGATTCAACTACTCTAGGTCCTCTTGGACTTGTGAGAGAGTAGAAAGTGTTTCTGACTCTTGGGGAAGAAAGTGTTGTCATTCTAATAGCTGCCAACACCCCCATTTTCTCTTCCCTGTGGCCCCATAACTTGCTGGGCCAAAGGCACCTGCTCTGATCTTTCTGACCACTAGGGCTACTGATTTTCAGACCAGGAAAGCTCGTCCTAGGAGAAGGGTTGGTTGCTGAACGGCTGAGAGGGAATTGCAGCCAGGTAGCACGGTCCCCGCCAGCGTTGGCAGAAGTTGAAAGCCCCGGGAAGAACATCTTCTGCCATCAGGACCAGGTGTGCTCTGATCCGCACCATCTCAAAAGTGCCCCCATCCTATCCCCACAAGGCCCCACTGGGCACCTCCAAGCCCGTCCCATGAACGAAGTTAACTGTCTGCGGGAGACAGTGTTCCTCCAGATATTCTTTTGCAAAGATGGCAATTCTCTCACTGCCATATCTCTACACAGTTGTCTCAAAACAAACAACAACAGGTACTTCCGATGTCCTGTTTCTTAGCCTGATGCGGGCATGTGAACACGCACACACGCGATCGCGCGTGCGGCCGGTCCAGGTGCGCCCTGGCCCGTAACGCCAAGCGCCAGGGATGCGACCTGGATGGTGGCCCTGAGGGCAGAGGAGGGAGTTGGAGCACCCTTGCACCCCCTGGGCTTCGACAGCACCGACGCCGGTGGTGCCTCGCGGGACTGTCTGCGGACTCTGCTCACCTTAATGTTGCCAAAGACGGAGCGGGGACAGCGGCCGGCTCCGCCCGAGGAGGCGCTGCTGCCCTGGCGCGCGCCGGGGTTGGGCAAGAGCCCCATGGTGACGGGGCGGCGGGCCGGGCTGCAGAGCGACACGGGGGTGGCGTCCCCTACCGCCCGGCCGGGGCGGTGGTTGCAGGCTCCGGGCTCTGGGTGGAGAGAGACCGCGCGGGCTGGTGGAGCCGGACCGGCCGATGGCGAACTTGGTGGCGCTGACCTTAGGAGGCGCGCGGCGCGGAGACTGAGCGAGAGAGTGCGCGCCCAGAAGTTTTTATAAGTGGCCGCCGCCGCCGCCGTCGCCGATGATGAAACGCGCTCTCCCTCCTCCCTCTCTTCCTCCGGTGTCCAAAGCGCAGCGAGCCCCCGCCCCCCGCCGCCGCCGTCGTCGCCTCTTTAGACAGGTGTCTTCGGGACGCGGGAGTCGGTGCTGCCTAAGCCCAGGAGGCGCTGGGTACGCCGGGGCTCGACCTCGGCTCGGACCCGCGAGGCTTCACGGTCTCGGGAGAAGGTCCCGCCTGCTGGGAGGGGTGGGGGAAGGAGGGAGTTAGTGGCAGGAGGGACGGAAGGCTGTAGGCGGGTAGGGGGATGCCTGGGAAAAGGTGGGTGCGGCTGGTGCGGGCAGGTGACTACAGGGGATCTTGAAAGGAATGGGCAGGGCCAGCGGGTGGAAGGGGTAGTAGGGTCCGAGGGGCGCTGGGGTGGGGACAGCAGGAGCAAGGTGGGGGAGGGAGCCCGGGGTTCCTGGAGAGGTGAGCCCCGGCTCCCCGCCCGCCCGCGCGACGCACTTGGGAAGATTTACGCAGCCAGTCTCTGCTTGTTTGCACTCGCCGCGGCAAACGTGGGCCCTCAGTTCCGGTGATGGCTCTGAGACTCGCCGAGGCTCTGTTTGTGCTGCGGGCTGATTTATATTTAAACTGCTCTTTGCGCTGGAGAGGGGGGTTGGGTAGCAAGGTGGAGGGGTGGGGGCCGTCCCGGGCTGGGCCCGAACTCTCTGGACCTGAGCCAAGGTAAACGGCAAGCGCTGTCAAGTGTCAGCGAGGCTAGGTCTGGCCTGGAGTGCTGCGAGGGACAAAGGGGGGGGCCCTGGACAAACGGGATGCACCCCACTGACCTCCTTCTTAGGGTTGGAATGAACAGCCAGTTTATTTTTCCCGAGTTTTTTTTTTTTTTTTTAAACCTCTGGGACTGCAAGCTCAGAAAAAGGAAAGGTGAGGCTTTTGCAAAGGCCAAAAAGAATCTGCCAAAAGCAGCTACAGTGAGGAATCCAATGCTAGAGGCTTTCTTCCAGCTCCCTAATTTCTGTAGTCTCCTACAGAGCTGATCTCTCTGAGCCCACCCCACACCCAGGAAAAGACGCCCCTCAATATCCAGGAAACTTCAACTGTCACAAACTCACAGGATGTTGAACCACATAGGCTGTTTATTTCTACCCAGGGCCTGATGCATTTAGGCCGGGTCTGGCCTGGGCTGTGTCCACAGGCTTCTCCTGTTCACCAGTACGTTAGGACCTCAGGCATGGCAGCATTCAGAAGCTATTGGATAGTGGGTAACCTCTGATCACTTCACTCCTCCACAGAGAGGTGTATCCAGCTTTCCAGAGTCCTGTCGCAGCCCCAGACCCAGAGCAAGCAGGAACTCCAGGTCACGTTGTGTCTCGCTGGAGAACAAGGAGCACAAGGACAGTTCTCATCATGGAGCACTCAAGGTGTACTGGGCACAGACAGTAACACCGTGGTAGATTGGTTGTGCCAGGCTCTGCTGAGCACCCACAAGCATGATTCTATCTAACCCCAAGATTAGCTCTGCAGTGATAGGTTCTATTACAGTCTGGGCTTCACAGATGGGAATGCTGGAGACCGATTAAAAATTGCCTGAAAACCACATAGCAAATTAGTGAAATCATCTCTGCCTGACTGTGGAAGCCCAGACTCCAAGTACTTAAAAAGTTGTCTAGTCCAGGAACCTCATTTCACAGGTGGAACCAAGCAGGGACCAGACAATGCCCAGGTCAAGGTCACAGGCACATTAGGGCCACCATGGCTGGAGCTGCTTTTTCAATCTCTGGCCTAAGGATAAACCTCTAGTGGAATTCCAGGGAGGACCAACCACTTCAGCCTTCACTTTGTTCTCAGTTAACCTTGACCTCGGGCTGCTCTCAGGATCAGCATCATCTCCATAGGAAAGGCCTATTCAGAGTTTCCATTTCTGTTCTGGTGGGAGTTCAGTCAGTGACTTAAATGAGATTCATTTGCTGGTGGCAATAGGTCTGCTAGTAGGTAGTGCAGAGGTCATGACCTAGACCCCTTCAGAATTCTTTAATGTGTAGTTCTCATCCCCCTGGTTTGCTCACAGTCACAAGAAGGTTGCTCCAACTCCAGGCTCCTCTTCTAAATCCAGAAGTGCAAGACAAGAAATGAAAGGGGCAAATCTTACGCACATGCACAGCCACTTTTCCTTAAACCTTGATGCCCACACTAGCTATCTTTGCAAAGGATGCTAAGAAATCTATTTAACACCAATGCTGTCTCCTGAGCAAAATTGAGGCTCAAGGGAAAGGAGGAGAAAGGATATTGTATCTTCAGCATTCAGTGTCTATACACAGAGTAACCCATTTCCTTAAAAGAGCACCCTCCCTGGGTCTGTCTCCCAGAGTTTCCATCTTTCTATTTCAGCAAATATTTCCTAACACTAAAAAATAAATAAATAAAGCATAAGAGCAGCCCCTAACTTCAAAGCCTTTCTGATCTCAAGGTGGAAAGAGAGAAGAGAAAGCATGGTGATGTACAGAGCTGCGTGGGAGCACGAGAAGAGGTCCTTCAATCCTTCTGGGACAACGGGAAGGCTCCCTGGAGAAGGTGTCCAAGGACTAGGAGGATTAGGATTGGGGTGACAGAGGGTCATGCTGTTGCCTGGTGTCATTCTGACCGGTACAGGAGACTAGGGACAGTGGGAATGTGTAAGAGGCTAGAACCTTGAGTGGCATGCTAAGAATGAAGGCTTGTCCCCAGCACAAATGGGGAGCTAGGAACAGAGAGTGACCTGGGCTGATGTGCATTTCTCTGAACCTCTCTGGCAGCCAGGTAAGAGAAGAATGAGGTCATCAGGAAGGATACACAGGAGCTAGTAGGCGGGCCTGGACTGCTGTGGTGGGATGGTGGTGGGGAGGAGAGATAGACACGAGAAATGTCAAAAGGAGATGGCATCCGCCTGTCAGAGAAGGAGGCATTGGTGAAGACTCCCCGAATCTGACTTGTGCAACCAGTATGGACGATGCCCATCCCTGACACAGGGAATCTAGAAGGACCAGCAGCTGTTGAGGGGAGCCACACAAACCAAGATGTGCCCCAGGCAGGTGACTATACAGATGCAGTGCCAGGCTGGATGCTGAGCTGGAGATGTGGCTTGGGGATTCCACGTGGAGGTGGGTAAACCTCGAGAAGGAATGAGTCTCCCAGGGAGAGTGTCTTGAGGGGTACGTCCAGGATGGGCCAGAGCAACAGCAGGGGTGGCCCCGGTGAAGGGAAGCCAGCATCTTTGTCTAACTAAAGGTTTGTGCTCTTTGTCACCATGCATTTGGCCTCAGCTGTGACCTGTGATGATAAAGGGAAGAGCCCTGAGCCTCAGTTTACTCCTCAGTAAAATGGGGACAATGATTGCTAGTTTCCTGCAAGACAAGGGATAATGTGATGGGACCATCTCACTCCAAGACAAGTTTCTACTGTGGTTATGGAGGCTGCGGATAGCTTGCTAACCTCTCAGATCCTCGAGGCCTGATTTAAGATGAAGATATTAGTGTTTGTTATAAAGTGTGTATGAGAAGATGAGAGTGTCTGGTGCCCAGTAAGGGCTCAGCATCACACAGCTGTCTTTGCAGTGGTGATTGGTGGTATTGATGCCAGAACTGCACCCCGTGTCTCTTCCTCTCACACAGCCATAAGCTACTTGAGAACATAGTTTCTGGGTCAATTCTCCTTGTTTTTGCCCGGTTTATTTCATTGCTTAAAACTGTTCAGTAAATGATATCAAGCTGATATGAATTCCAAAAAGACCCCAGTGATTGGGGAAGACCTCGTTGGTCTGAGGCCTTAGGGTCATTGCTCTCTCTGTCAAAACCCATTTCTGGAAGCCTCTGACAGTCTCCAGGCTCAGCCTTGTCTGTCCTCACTGGTGACTGGCCGTGAACTTGGTGGTGGGTCCATCAGTCCATACTGCCCACTGCTGCAGCAGTGGGTGAGGGTCTTTTGAGCACTTTGGATACCCAAGTATTATCATGGATGAACTCTGGTGACCAGCTCCTTGTGAGTCATCCACCAACAAGAATTGGGGTCAGGGAACTCCCCAATAACTGCCTCTCCCTGAGTTGTGTGACATCTCTGAAGCCAAGAGCCCCACCTCATTGTCACTGTCAGTGGTAGGGCAGCCTGCTCCCTTTGTGGGCCACCCTGACCTTATAAATATATTTCTGATAAGTAAAAAAAAAAAAAGGTATGTTTTTATTTAACAAACACACAGTGCTAACAGTCTGTGCCAGGGACTGGTGGAATGTGACTTATTTAATCTTTAAAACAACTCGTCAGGAGAGGTTCCTTTTCTACTGCGTTTTACTTTTGGTGACATGGAGGGTCCAGAAAGGTACAATAATTAGGTGAGCCACATGGCTAGTAAGTGACAGAGCACACATTCAAACCCAAGCAACACAGGAACAGAATCTAAGCTTCTGATCAAAGGGCCTTAGCTGCACACCGGGTGCAAGCAGATCAAGTCCAATGCCCACCCACACAACGACCCTTCAGGGGTTAGAAGCCCACCTTGGTGCCTTGACCACTCCTGTACCCTTAGGAAGCCTTGCCTCCCTCCTCCCCTGCTGAAGCAGCAGGAGAGGTGTAGCCTCTGCTGTCAGAACCACAACCATGCCTGACCTGGGAGATACTCCTTAAATGAAGGCTGGGGGCCACTGGCAGGCCCTCCCTAGCTCAGCTCCAAGAACTCCATTTTCCTGTTCCCTTCTCTGTGCATTTCTTCCCTGTAGCATGGGTTTCCACAGCACCTCCTGCCTGCTG